AGACAACCCCGTAACAATATGCGTTTTGTACTGCTGTTACACAGCACAAAACGCATAAAAAGCTGAAATTTTAGCGTGGCATCCCCTGTCCACGTACAGCTCCGCAAATCTTCAACGTCCTTTGGCGAGAAAAGTCATTATCTCGGGAGCCAGAAGAGTTAGGAGGCTAAAAATTTATGGAGAATGTTTCCTGCCTATGCAGGGGCCTTACAAACTCGAATTCAGTTCTTAAGTGTGCCGAGGTCTCACGCACGACCAAATGAAAGTTTTGTCTCAAAAATCATTTGAAAGCCAGAAAATTAGATTTGAAATTTTGGAAGGATATTCACCCTTCGAGGTTTCAAATTCAACTTCCACGTACTGATGCGTATAATTTTTAATTATTTTTTAAAATTCCAACTATTTTTGCATGGACCAAAGTGCGAAGTAGTGAAAATCATTTAAATGTAATCGTTTGGTGGACGGAATTGCACAAAACGCATAATCGCTTCGGTTATTCTGGTGCGCGCTGTTGTTTATTTCCTTTTATTAATGTTAGCCCTATAATGTGCTTGTTCAGCATACATTACGTCTTTTCGCTAACAAAGCTGCCTGACATATATTGCGTTACCAACCGCCGGTCAGGCCGACGTTAATTCGTACCACCCAGTTTGGCTGGACAGATCTCGATATTTTTGGAGTTGTTAGGATTGGCTCCCCTCGTGTCTCAACACTGCCTGGCCCGTTTGCACTCCACGACAAGGCGTCTGGACTGGAATTTTTTGCGGAAAACATAATAACAAGAAAGGAAAAATAATGAAATAATAAAAAAAAATACTAAAAAACAGTGAAAAATTTAACAAAATTTTTTAAAACAATTGAGTAACAGTAATAAATTATTGAAATTAACGATGGACGAAATCCTTTCTCAGCCAAGTAAGTACCTTTACATACCGATAGCGCAGAGACAAAGTAAAGTAAATAGCGGCTTGCACCGGAGAAGCTGGTGCGATCATGCGTTTTGCGCAGTTCCGTCCAGCGGACGTTTGCCTACTTAAAATCTAATTGTTTTACACTTTCTTGTGTGGAAAAATAGCCGATATGCTGTATATGGCTCCTAACGTGAGAAATCTCGCACTGGAAATTTCACGTACCGGTACATGAAAAATGAATTTAAAAACACGGATGGGCAACATTCTTCCAAATTTCTACCTCCTAGTTTTCCGGCTTTCGAGCTAGTGACTTTCGCGTCAAAATTCTCACGTGGTCGTGCGTAAGCCCTCTGAATAATTAGGAGCTAAATTCGAATTTATGAGGTATCTGCACAGGCAAAAAACATCCTCCTGAAATTTCAGTTTCACAGCTCTCCTGGTTCCTGAGATAATAATTTTCCCCATTAAAACTTTCGGGAGGCCACACGCGAGATCAAGCGTACATGAAAGCTGAATTTAATTTTGCGAGGTCGCATTCCCCCAGAATTTCGGCTCCCTTTTATGACTTCCAAGGTAGCAGTTTTTCTCGCCGAATCTTTCACCGGGACGTAATTGAGACCCAGGCTTGTTTAAAAACTGATTTTGAATTTGCGGGATTTATAGGCGAGTCAAGGGAGGAGAAGGGGGTGAAGGGTCTTCCGCTCCCTTCCTTCTCTCAACGGCACAAACACCAGTGCTGCAAAAGGCCCGAATCCGTTCATAATTACCCAGGCTGGAACGCACCTCTGGTGCGATTATGCGTTTTTGCACTTTTCGTGCCGTAGCAAGATCGCAAAGAATCAAAGTAGCTAACGCTGTGG